ACGAGGCTGGAGACAGGTCAGCATGGAGATGACTTGTTGGACTCTTCTTCCTGGCAAAGGCCCTGGGAGTAAGGGCTTTAATGCCCTGTATTTAACAAATGTAATTGCAAGTAATGAGAATGCTAAAATCTCCTATTGCTTGGATGCTGGAAGTTTAGGGAAGGAAAACAAAATTATTGATGCAAAAAAGACCCTCCTTGTTATGCCAGAGCCTGGCTCTCTCCTTGGGCTTGCCCTAGCCTTGTCCCTGGGATTCTGCCTGTAATTTGCTCATGGGTCTTTATAGACATTACTAAAACAAACCATATTTTTCAGGAAGGTATTTTATATGTCAGGGAAAGGGGTCTGCTGTGTGTGTAAGAAATCTCAGTGCAAGATGTGGCAATGCTTCCATTTTATTAGGAGTTTGTATAGGTCAGGGACAGCTTTGTGCTGTCTTCTCCAGAACTGCTGCACCTTTTAGTTTCGAGTGGAGTCAGAGCGTGGAGAGGGCTTTTGGCACATTCCCCTGTTCTTTATGCGCACATTGGTGTTTCTTTGCCTGGAAGAGAGGTTAAAAATGCTAGAGGATGCCTTCAGGTCCCTGATACATATAGCAGCCTGGCTCAGAGGACAAAAAGAAAGAAAGGAAAGTACTGCTTAAATAATTTAAGAGTTATTCCCACTAAGTAAGGCCACATATTCTTGACAGGGAGTTCAGGGTTACCATGGACATGTGTTAATTAATTTGAATAAGCTCAAGAGCTGGCACTTCCTGACACCTCCTGGCAGAATAATTCACCTCTGTGCTGTAGGACAGCACTAAGACACCTGTAATGCCTGTCTGGCTGCAGACGATAAAGGTTATGACTTTGTTTTGTGGGTTTTTGCAGACAAATGCCTGCCATTGTGTCTTGCTTGGGCTTGGGCCTGCTTCCAGCCTCCCCTCCTGATTGCTTCTGCAGCAAAAGTGAGGAAAATATTAAAAAGACACCTGCAAAAAATTATTATTTTTTGCCCAGTAGTGGACCTAATTACTCTGAATTGTTCCATTTTCACATGGAATCATGATGTTCTTCTGTTTGGAAAGACAAACCCATTTTTTCAGGTGCATAGAGAAATGCTGGTAAAATGATTTTCAAGCTGTTTTGTGTTTTGCAAAAAGCATTTTGCACACTGGTCACAATGAAGTGACCAAAGGCGACGAATGAGACACTGCCAGATGCTCTCGCTGTAGTTATTCCCAGACTCCTTGCAGGCCTCCAGCTCTTGTCAGACCAGTGCACACGCAAAACTGCAAATGACACTTCATCCTGCCTCTTGGCTACATGACTTTTCCCCATGGACCAAAGCTTTACAGATGAGGATGCTCTGTTTATCTCTCTCCTGAGACATTTGGCACCAGGCAGCTTCAAACTCCTGGTGCCTGCCCCAGATTGTCCTGACCAGGACGCCAAATGGCTGATGTTCCTAACCCCAAAACTTCTTTGCTTGGGAATGTTACAGGGGAGCTGCAAGGCTCAGGGATTTGACCCACAGGAGCAGCACATTTCCAGTTGCAGCTGCTGAGAGCTTGCGCAAATGGGAGTTTGAAGTCCAGGGACGCAGAGCCTGTCAACGCAAGGTAAGTGCCAGCACCAGCTTCTCGTCCATCCCTTCTCTCCCCCGACTCCTGGCTGGCTCTGGATACACCACCAGCTCAGCCTTTTTCTTTTTTGTGCCCCAAACTTTCCTTCTTGTGACCACTGAGGTCTCCTATCCCCTCCAAAGCCATGCTCCACGCCATGGGGACATAGCATCCTTGATGCCACTTTGCTTCCTGCATAGCTGGCTTTGAAGCCTTCCTTGCTCTCTTTACCTAGCTCTTGGTTCATGGCCAAAGCCCTAACGATGTTGTGTCTGAAGAACCTCCCACCTCCATCTGTTGCACACTACAGCGACAGCTGGTGCTGGGCTGCTGGCTTCCAGCATGGTCATTACCGCCCTGCCATGCCGTGCCAGGTCATTAACTGTGGTGCCTTTGTTCAGGAGATCCCACTCAGCATGTCTCTGCCTGACTGTATCATCTTCAGCCTTAAAATGTAAAAGCAGCATTTGAGCAGGCCAGGAGCAGAATATGGGGCAGCAGCCTGGGTTAATGAAGGAAAAAGGAGACAATCAGACCAACAATTCTTATCCTCTGCTGATCTGGACTCTGTTCCTTGTTACTGCAGAATTAGCTGGGAGGAAACACTCCTAAAAGCAGAATTTGGCTCCACAAGCCCGTTCCTCTAGGGATAGAAAAGCTAGAATTTGAGCTTCTGTTAGAGATGTCTCTGCTGATGACAGATGGGGTGAGCCTGATCACCAAAAATCCCCGCCTCCACCAGATAAAGTCAAGGGTCAAGCTCCCTTAGCCCCACAGACTGGGGCATCTGGCTACAGATAAGAGTCAATCTTCCCAACAGAGATTTTTGAACCACTTAATAGCATTGAGTTGGAAGTAATTCCTTCACTTGTCTGACACAGAGCGCTTCCAATGTATAAATATACTCAAAATTACCTAGGGCCCAAGCCAGATGAAATGAATCAAGTCTTGCCAGAGACGTCGCTAGCATTTGGACCTGGCCTTCTGCTAAGACAGTGCAATCTGGCACCAGCACAGATTAAATATAAGGCTCATTCTTAAAAAAACCCAGAGCAAATTGTATCCTTTCATATGCACAGAAGACAGAAAGCAGAACTCGGCTATAAATTGCTGGGGTGAAAACCCATAGTTTTTCCCCAGCCACCACACATTTGAGGTCACCTGGAAAAATATTCTTCTGCCTGCATGCTAGATCTGGGCAGACTTTGAGGACTTTGCCATTTGTCTGAGTTCCTGGACACCTGCCAGCACAGTCTGAGCAATCACGGCAGCTTGGCAGCTGCAGGTGTGGGGAGATTTTGGCCATACAGTCCCTGCTTGTGGGCAGCTTGTGTGCTGTGAGCTGCACGCAACGGACCTGTTTCGCAGGCAGAGTCCACATGTTCAGAGCAGCAGGTGCAGCATCTGCGCGGGAGGCCAGATTCATGCCAGATGTGCCGGGCTCACTGCCCGCGCTCCACCCAGCTGCATGCAAACAGCTTGCTTTCTAGGAAATCCCAGACATATGTAGTAGCCCTCATCTATGTGATATTTAGACTCGCAGGAGGTCCAGATACTCACAGGTTCTGAAAGCACAACACACACTCATTGCCGTATAGGAAGTTGTCCGTGCCACAGACGGGGTCAAAGATCTTTGTACAACCTTTTCTTAGGTCATAGTTGCCACAAGCTGCCTGGGAACGCAAAAAGGTAATGCTGAAAATATTAAACATGCTTTCAGCTTACCAAAGGAGCTTTGCATTCACAGGGAGGTGCATATTTTGTGTATCTTGATAACCCATCCCAGCTTGCTCAGAGCTCTGCTATGAACTCTCAGAAACACCGGGACTGCCTGTTACCATGCTGTCCCTTGGCCAGCTGAACTTCACCTGGCACTCCTGCACACCTTGAGGAGCAACAATATTGAGTAATGCTCCATGGGCAGTGCCCGATTGTGTTCTTCCCAGTTCTTATTTTTATGCCACAACGATACCTGCCCTTGCACTTGCAAGCTAGAGAGTAAGGAGAGCTCTGATCTTCTTGGCAGGTAACAGCAATATTCAGTTCTTTTTTAACAGTTTTCCTCCAGTGGGTGTGGGGAAATGCAGTGGGAAACCAGTACCATTACTGGGATTTTGCTGTGGCACAGCAGGTGGGAGGAGGTTCCCAGGCACTGGCATCTTTGGGCTGCCAACCCAGCAGCTCACTGTACTTCCCTGTATTTAGCAACTCTGGCTCTCCAGTGTATGGGTTAGTGCTGTCTCACCAAAGCTGGGCACACCCTTGTGCTACACAAAAATAGGAGCCTTCACCTCTGTTCCTTTTCCAGCAGCTCCATCCATCTCAGCGTTTCCTAGAGAAAGAGTGGAGAGAGAGAGAAAATGCTTTAGTACCCATCACTCAGGCTGGTTTCAAGGCAGATGTACTAAAGATGCTTTAGCCTGAGGACTGTATGTCTTCACTCAGACACCTTTGTCCCAGCAAACAATTTCTTCCCTTGGATCTCCCCCATTTTGCAGCCACGTCCCTTGCTGCTGCATCTATCTCTTTCCCCTGGCAGAAACACCGTGATGGTGCAAGGCCCTGTCAAGGCCAGATGCACTGCTAGTGACTCCCTGCCAGCTGCCAGGGAGCAAAGGTGGCTTTCGTTATCTCCTATCACATGTTCATGGGTAACTGAGAAACTCCTGCTGATGCTGGACTTGGTGCTGGAGTAAATCCAGGGTGATTTTTCTGGTGCCAGTGGGTTTGTACCACAAGAAAGCAGAGCAAAAGAGAAGTTGCTGAAGATCTCTACTAGAAGGAGAAATGGGTGGACGTTGAGGTCTCACACCAAAGCTGGTGGGAGCAAGCTGTGACTTTGGTGGGCTTCTCCATGGAGAAGCTGGCCCTGAACTGACAGCTGGGATCACATGGGTGGAACATGTGGTGGGTGTATTTTGAAAAACAACCTGAATTTGTTCAGCAAAAGGCAGTACTGAGAAGAAGACCTTGGGTTTCTTATAGATCCAGAAGTCATCTACATAGAGGATTTAGGCTACATCTACATTAACAACCAGTGTGGCCCAATAGCAGTGTGTCTTGTGGAGTGAAACGGTTTGGTGCTGAGGACCTAATAGCCACACTGTTTAGGGTTTCAGGGATTTTACTCTGGACTAGCACTGGTCTAGACCCAGGAGCTGTAGCTCACTACACGCTCAGTTCGACTGAAATGAGTCCAGATTTTATGCTCAGACAGCTCTGCAATGGCAACTGCTGCACAGTGAACAGGATAACGCAGGACTTGTTTCAGAAGCATCCTCCTGTTCTGAATGAACCCACGAAGGCAGAAATCCCTGGTGAGCAGGACCTGAAGAGCAGCAACAGCTCATGTTCTCATCCCTCTGCACCATATGGGATTTTGAAAACATAGTTGGCTTAAACATTGACTTTGGTTGAGAGTGCTGCATTTTCCCTTGCCTAGATGTGTTTCCTGTCTTTTTGGGTTTGCTTTTTTAAAACCAGAATAGCACCTATTCACTCTAAAAGAATTGCAGTGTCCTAGAAACTACCAGCTCCAGGCCGAATCCCAGCCCTGAAGGGAGAGTGTCAGACCAGCAGGTCTGTTCATTTTTGGGAGCAGGTGCCAGGCACCCTTTTAAAGCCTTTGCTTTAGGCTTGCTCACAGACCACTGGTTTAATGCACATTGGCCATTGCAGCACCCTCTGGGGATCGCTTGTTTTCTCTGCCCAGGGCCAGAGCAAGGTCCCAGCACCAGCTGGCCTGTTCCCAGGCTCACATTCTCACCCAGCAGACCTGGGAGCTTTAGCAAGGAGAGGAAATGGCTCCTAAGCAAAATGTTGCACTCACCTTGGTAGCAGCAGAGTGCCAGGGAGAGCAGCAGGAAAACACCAGTTGCCTTCATGGTCAAGATGATGCTTTACTGGGGACAGCAAAGAGGAAATAGGATACTTCTGAGGCTTTCAGAGATCCTGTCTCTAGCAGTCTATGCTGGGACCTTTATGCCTTTCCCCATCTCTGGCACCACCCTGCATGGCCAGCTCCACCCCGCAGTCTTGTGATGACAACATTCAAAGTACAGGGACAACACCAGGTGGCAAATGGCTCATTGGTTTGTGCAAGGATGAAAGCCTCTCCATGAAGCCAATGGAGGTAACAATCCTTATCGCTGGCAAGGACTGGAGCCAGATCTTAGGTTTGGGAGACAGCCTTGGGTCTGCACTGCGAGCCGGGAAAAAAGTGATTTTGTACAAGAAGCAGATTGGAGAAACAGGCAGGATGGCAAGGAAAATACATATGTTAGCACGAGTAGTGTGGCTTTGATTAATGACCCTGCTGCTGCCACTTGCAGGGCTCTGGGTGAAGATGCCTTTCCTGGCATGATCTGCAGAGCAGAGCTAGGGTGTCGCAGTTCCCCTTCCCGCACCAGACAGGTAGGGACATCAGCAAGAACTGCTGCTGGAGAGCAGAGAGCTTGGATGTGCCTTGGGTTCACTTGTGGCTGCACATTCAGTGCTGTTATTTTGACTGCACATCTCTCTGCAGGCAGGCAGGCAGCTGAAATGAGCTCATTGGGTTGGATGCCGCTCCCTTCCCCTCTCCCTGCCTGCAGTTTGGAGTAAACCCTGGAGATTTCCTACATTTACTCCACCAATGGTGCATTGCGGAGAGTGGATCAGTCCCTTGGGTATTAGAAGGATTAATTAATGTTTCTAAAGCACTTTGATATCTCAGCCATAAATCACTGGAGAAGTGCAAAGCAAATTATTACTAATGGGGGCTTATGACTCAAAGACAGATTTTTAATTAGCTGAACAGGAAAAAGTCAATGCCAAGAGCAATTCAAGGAGCTGTTTGTGAGATGGAAATCTCAGCTCAATCGGCAGCTGCTCCACTGTCCAAGGGAGACCCCAGTCTGAATGTGGCTCTGGAGGACAGTTTACCCTGCCAGAAGCATCCTTTGTGAGTTTGCTTTAGCGGTGATGGAGATTTTCCCTGCTCTTGTCTGGGCTTCCCTCTGCTCTCCCTGGGGCAACCTGCAACATGAGGCTGATCCGCTCTTAATAGCACCTGTTATTTTATTAACTTGGAGAGTAAAGCTGGCTTTGGGTATGACCCGCTCACCAGCTGTGAATAGCTGGGCTGGGTGTTGGTGGACCTCTGTGAGCAAGCAACAGTCCTTTAGCGTATGAGATTAAGTACTTTACTACTGAAGCAGGTTGAAGAAACTCCAGCTTATGCAATACAATGGACTCAATTATTCCACAATGAATTGTGCCAAACCAACTGATTCAGGGGAAGTTGCCTCTGCCAAAAGAAGAATCCAACATAGGCTGCCAACGCTGCCGCAGCCGAACAGCAGTCACACGAGGTTTTTAATGCAGTTTCTCCATTAGCAATTACCCTTCCTTTCCTAGCGCCTCTACTGACATCTGTGTGTTTATGAGATGCCTTCAAAAATGTGGGATTTCAGGGCTCCTCTCCCCTGATTGACATCTATTCTATACCCTTCAGGAAAATCAAACAGAAATGCTTGGGGCTTATTTGACTGGGGAGGAATAAAAAAGAGCTGCAAACTGCTATTGCGCTGGGTGCTCCTGGTAGAAGGAGCAGGGAGATGTCTTCAGCAGTGTGGGCTTTCTCAGGATGTGTCACCTTGTCAGAGCAGCGTGTTCCTCCAAACACATCAGCTGGAGGAGTAGAGAAAAATGAGTCAGGCGTCTCTGCCAGCCGTGCTGTGTGACTCGCCGAGCACGGTGCCCGTCGTGGAGAAATGAAGAGGACAGGCAGGCTCCAAAGCACGTGTTGGCGTGGGACGACTTTCCCTTGATTGCCTTGCTGGGCGATGACCACCACACACAGTGCGGGACAGAAGACCTCTACAATTGCTGATGGTGTCTCCTCCTGGCTTCTGGAAGGCACTTGGAGGAGAAATTGATGCCACACAATGAATGTGGGGAAGGTGCAGTGGATAAGGAGGTAAGCTAAACCGGCAGGTCTGTCTCTAGGTAGAGCAGCAGGAACAGGTGACTCTCCTTCTGCAGGATGAATGTCTGCACCATCTTTCAGTCAAATCTGAGCACTTTCAAGTTACATCTTTTTGAATATTAAAGTATTGCAAAGGAATAAAAAACTGCATTGCAGGGGAATGAAAAAATTTGGGAAACTATCTACTTCCCTGAGATGGCCCATCCACGATGGGCTGGAGGAGCACTTGTAGTATCAGGGCTGGAATTTGCTTTTTGTGGAGACTTGAGGTACAGAGAAAAGCCACCAGTGTCCTGGGGAAATTGCAACAGAGTCACCAGTCAAAAGCATTCAAAGAACACAAACCAGACCCAGATGATCATGAATCACAGCTATAGAAACCGCAAACCCCTTTAGGCCTCTTCAAATTAATGGAATTTACCAACAGGCTCGTTTGGGGTAGCTCACATTTTCCAGCCTTATTCTGAACCCAAGAGAGAGAATGGGCTAAAAGAGCAGAGTTCCTCTTGCAGTCCCGGTGCCTGGGAATTGGAGTGACAGCAGGGAGATGGTGCAACACTGTATGGGAGCTCATCTGCTGGTGAGTGCAGTCGAGGGGTGACCCCTTGGCACCATTCCAACAGTGTCCAAACCCCTGCCGCCAAGGAGTGGCTGCGCAGCCAAGACCCACACCATGGCCCTGTGCTGGTGGCATCCTTGAGCCTT